ATCATAACACATCATTCTATATAAACAATATCTATACACCTATCTAGCCACGCCTTTGCAATGCTCCTATTTGCATTCCTCTATATAAATAAAGTAAATATAGCAAATGCAAAGGAACCCATAACTGGAAAATATGTTGATTGGATACCAGAACGGACAAGAAATGACTTCAATGGCTTGTGAAACATGAAAGGTAGATTATTACACACTTAACGTGATTGCAAGGCTCCAAGGTGCGAAGATATAATTTTGCTAATAACATGTACCTACACCTAAAGGCAATCAATGTCACCGGCCATTTGCAAAAAAAAATAATAATAAATAAACGCTGTTGTGCACCAGCTTGGCAAAACGACGAATAGATGAAAACCCCAATCCTTTTGCATTGAGACACAGAGAAAAAGTTTCTTATTTTTATAGCATATGCACGTCGCAATCAAGGGGAAGAAAATGGGGAAGAAAAATAGAGAGAGAGAGAGAGAGAGAGAGAGAGAGAGAGAGAGAGAGAGAGAGAGAGAGAGAGAGAGAGAGAGAGAGAGAGAGAGAGAGAAAGAGAGAGAGAGAGAGAGAGAGAGAGAGAAAGAGAGAGAGACAGAGAGAGAGAGAGAGAGAGAGAAAGAGAGAGAGAGAGAGAGAGAGAGAGAGAGAGAGAGAGAGAGAGAGAGAGAGAGAGAGAGAGAGAGAGAGAGAGAGAGAGAGAGAGAGAGAGAGAGAGAGAGAGAGCACCTAAGCGCCTTAGGCTCCTTTGTCTCCGTCGGACGGTGGTGTCACTAAGCGCCCGAGACGTGAAAGCGATTCCAGACCGCATTGGAATTGCAGGGAAGCTCCTCGTCTCGGCTCAGAAACAATATTCCGGGCCGGCGCGAGTGAGTCGAGCTGGTTTAAGCTTTGACAGGCCACATTTACTGATCTGTCGAATAGGACAGCTCCATCCGGGGGCCCGAGCGGAGGCTTTTCACGCTTTGAACCGGCCGGGATAGCGCTGGCAGCGGACGGATCAAACGGGTGATTGGCCGGGGGTCGGACACCCGCGCTCCGTCTGACTGGCCGCTCCCCGGAGAACCGGTGGCCCAGAGGACAAACATATCAGACTGAGACCCGACAATGAGATGGAGCGAGCTAGACGAAGCGTGATGGAGTCGAGTCGGCTCCGGCGAACCGCCGACACTTAGTGATATTGAAATATGTAAATCGGGGAGCCAGACGAGATATAAGAGCCGAGAATAGCTAATATTTGACCAGAGGAGGCAGCCAACTGTGCGGGGAACATATCCTTACGGAAAGTGCAGTCTTGAGACAGTGGATGCAGTACTTCGAAAATGATTATCTTCTAAAAGAGTTGTTATAAAAAGTCGAAACATCTATTTCTTGGTTGCGATTAAATGTATATGACAAAGCATATTACCTACAAGTTGTTTTCAGACATACCAAATGGGGTTTACGATTTACGAATTATGATACCCTTCTGAGAAGCCGAGAGGGATAGCTATTGAATCATGAACAAATTAAATCACTTATTTCAAGTATGCATTTCACTGACACACAATAGACACATTTTGTACAAGCGAATGCAGCACATACAAGGCGATCGTTGGCCTTACGTACCTAAGTGTATTTTTCTATTTACTTTACGTTGAGACTTTCGAGGATGAACTCCGCTTTATGCAGCAAATATGCCTTTCTAAGCTTCTGGAAAATGAGCGTGCATTGTTCATTCCACTACTAAGTCCGTAGGGCGTAGACCTTTTCAAAATAACCAAATTACTCACTACCCTTCACTTGCACAAGTTTAAGCGGTCCAAAGACATTGCGAAGCCACGCACATTTCAACTTCCAATTGGTCCAGCGTTCCAAAACCAACCAGCCGCCTAAATTGCACCCTAAGAAAAATGGGCACCTCGGAGAGCGCACTAATCGCCACTCGGTCTAAGCAGGTTGGTCGAACATCAGAAAGTTGTCAAATGTTTGCTCATAAGTTGAGGCGTTCCCATGTAGTCGGGTAGCGCGGCGAACAAACTGGGAGCCGTTAGCGAGTTAATGTAGCGCGGCCTGTGGTCATCCTGAGGTCATTTATCATCGCGCGGTGGCCAGAGCACTCGTGCCGCCGAAGCAGGAAGGTAGCCCAGTGGAACGGAACCTCGGCGGAATGGCCAGGAGTAAGTGGACGGAGGTAAACGAGGGCAGTTAGACGATTAGCCAAATGGGCTGAGTTCGAAGATTATGGACATAAAGGCTAAAATGGTATGCTTGAGGTTACAAGTTGACACTCAGGTGATTCACGGATAAATGTCAGTTTTTCACCAACTCATTACTCGGTGCGGTACTCATAAACTGAAAAGAAAAAACTGAACACGACGGAAGACAAGCTCTAACGGAAGTGGACAACTACCGACAAGGAAATACTTTGCGATGTGCGTCACACTTATTTTTGTTAGATGTTGCAGGCAAATAACCTTGCATAACCCTCGCCCATGTAGGGGGGGGGGGGGTTGGTGCAACCCCCCCCTGAGGTTTTTCTTAGCTACACGCCGAACCGTTTCAGATAGCCTGCTCAAATTTTCAGTACCCTATGGGGCATCCTTTGCGCAACTTTTGGTATTTTTTGTCAAGGTCATGTCAGGTCACGGAGTTATGACGTCATAAAGGGAACAACCTCCGGCCAGATTTACGCCAAATTGGAGATTGCTTCACATTGGTATAAATGCCGACTGACCTGACACACTGATGGATTGTTTTAGAATCATAACTGGCTGATTTGACATTGGCACAATGTCCGTTGACCTTTTCAAGGTTACTTAAGGTCAAGGTCAGGTCAGTGACCTCGGTTGACCTGTAATGACTTCTTGCACTTGTATGTCTTTTCGGGGTATTTTGATGCCCTGAATTCGAATTTGCTATCCATTTCAGGCATCGTCGGTTGTTTCTTGTAGTCCATTTTGGGTCAGGGTCAGGTCAGTGACGTCACACGCCTGACGTGACCCATTGCACAAATGACCTTGCAGACTTCCGATGCTCCCAACGCATCATTTTTAGAGTTATGACATCGAAATATGCACCAAACGATAGAGAATTGATCAAGGATCACAATAGTGAAGGTTTCAAGTCGATATCTCTTACCGTTTTGCCGCAATCGGAAATCTGAAAAAGTTAGATTTTTCCGAAAATTTGACCTTTGACCGGTCATAAGTAGGTCAAATGTTGACCTAGGACCAAAAAATATACCACCAATCGCGAGATCTCGTTGAGAGCAATCCGTTGGTCTTTTCCGCTAAGCTCTACGACGCTCCGTTTTCAAACGCCAGGGGGGGTCGCACCAACCCCCCCCCCCCCTGCATGGGCGAAGGTGGCAAAACACCGTTTACGGGCGAGGGATAATAGGCGTCTCCATCAATAATGTTTACCAGCTACAGGTCCACAGGTATGGCGAACGACCTTAAGAATCCACTTCAAAACATCTCGTCTCCAAGAATTTCAACAAAAATAAGCAACGCGAGGGTAATGTGAGCTGGAGCAGTGAGGTTCGTGTGGTTTTGAAAAGATTTTTGAGCGCTCTCGCTATTCTAAAGTACGCACAGGTCCAGAGAGAACGAGCCTCCGAAAGCAGCAAACAGGACTCGATGTGCACATCCAGACACATACCTATACCACTGACAGACCTCTCGCCTTTGCTGGTTTCCAGCTTCAACAGTCAATCTGCCCACGCAGTCCCTTCTGAGCATAATCTGAGGCCGATTCCTATTTGTAGCGATCTCTATGCTGGATGGCCCGCAAGGTAGCTGATCTCGAATTCATTGAATGTTTGCAGCGTGCTTGAAAATCATCCCAATTTCGCGAGATGGTTGAATCGGTAAAATGGTCTAGCATCAACAGCATCGTGATCTTAAAGTATCAGCTGAAACTCGTTTACCTCTATAGGTATGCCTTCTTTGATCTTTCCCACTCTATCGATCGATATATTTAATAGCAGCATGGTTCCAGCAAATTACATTTATGCACGAATGTATGACCATCAATCAGAAACCCGCTTATATCTAAAGATCGCTTAGGCTAGAAACTAGAACTGAGACGGATTACAGTACTCCTCCCGAAACAAAAAGAATAAAATCAGCGTCCTTAAAAAACCGACATCTGTTGGCCTCCAGGTGCTTCCGCAAATCATATTCATGGTGAAGACAAGCCACTTCGTCTTCTTGGCTGAATAAATTTTTGTTCTTTATGAGAGCATTTCTTTCGCAAACGTTTCTTTGGCATTTCTTTCGCATTTCTTTCGCAAACGCGAACGAAGTCCGAAGATGAAATGGCTTTTTTATTCCTATTCATTTGGACATCCATAATCAATACCGGAATATCAATCATAGGAATCAAAAGTTAAGGATGGTCAGTGAATACAAATGTCAGGCGTGTGTACCTAAATGTGTTTATTGATATGTTGACCACCATCGTCCGGTCGTCCTATACTATTCATTCATTTTCTCATGAACGTAAATGTCGGTTGCAGATGAGTTACTCTATTTAAACATTTCTGAATTATCCGAGACAGAAGCAAAAATATTGTCGTCACTATTGCGATCAAAGATGATTGGCATAGTCACCTGGCCCCATACCTCCCCGGACCCCGCGGCATCGGCAGAGGGGGCGGGGACGTCTGTGAACGGGGCGCGGAGCAATCACCGAGCCAAACCTGTTGCATCGCGAGACGCAACGCCAAAACATCAGACTGCGACACAGACGCGAATAAAACCGAGGACCGCTCACTTTGCCTCAACACTGCGTTAGCTTGCCAAGTGTGCCGAGTACAGAACCAGGCGTCCTATGCGACTCACTTTACACCACTGAACACACATCGCTAAAATTGTCGTGGGAGCCAAGATACAAATATATACCTAATCGAAGCATTCCGAGTCTTTCTTATCTTAGGAACGACGGATCTTCATTATCAACACAACACACACGGTCATACACCTATCAAAAACTGGTACTGCATAACATGCGGGACTGACCTGGGTTGGATCCGTTCAGCTCAGCATCGTTTTTCACCAAATGACGCGTCGGCCAGCTAGCAGCGACTTGACGAGACTCAAGTCCTCAGCACGAGTCGATGCGGCAAGCCAGAGTCACGAGCGAAGACGTCCAAGTCCTCTATTTCCCACCTGACCAGGTCACGAACACTCAGTCTACACGTCACGGGCCCTCACCACTCCAGTGCCGCGCCGCCACTGCCGCGGTCCAGGCGGTGCGTATGATGCCTTGGCCCGCGCTTCGGCGACCGACGGCATTCTGCTGCGACTGCCGCGCCCCTGGCGGCTGCGACGCGAAACTCGTCGCAGATCAACAAGTTGGACGGAGGGCGGGGGGCAGTTGGAGCTCGCTCGTCGCCGTTGATCTGTGCCGGGAGGCTCATAAGCTGCAGTCGGGATAATGAACACAGATGATGAGGTCCTGAGAGGTTAAGATGGAGAATGACGGCCCTCCCTGGTGGCGCTTAGAGTTTGGAGTCTCAGACTTCAAATTCAACGAGGGCGGAACCAATCCTCTTACAGAGTGCTTCGAAAGCTTTCAAGTCGAGAGCATTTTGTTGTATGAGGCGTTTACGCTTTCGCGTGGGTATCCAATTCTAGACGCCCTCGATGATAGGAAAGCAATTTCAAACGCCAAAAGGCAGACAAAAGCACGAAATTGGAAATCGATCTCTGAGCTTTCTTATAAGGTCCGGCTCAGACCGCCTCAATACCCTCATACAAAATACCTTAATTCGAAGGGAACGGGGCTGCTTCTTACGCCAGATGCTGTATTCAATACATAGATATCAGACCAGTGGCAGTCAGCTCCTGCCTCCTGAACGCCACAGACGCTAGACGTTATAGGTATTGGAAGGAAGTCGGAAGAGCATTCAGCCTGGGTCTCGCTTTCAAGTCTCAAGTGTGCTTGTTCGTAGGTAAAGTGTATATCCAAAGATATTGTCAAATCACTCACGTTGGCCGTAGCCAAATATCACGATGTGGCAAAATACAGCAGTGAAGAGGAACGATTCTCCTTAGCTACCATTTCGACATTACACTGAAACTTGAAAGTTTTTATTTATGCACGTGGGAGACTTTACTTACAGTCATCCATATATCTAAGTGTTCATCATTGTCGTTGAGAAGTCCTTATCCTTGCTAATTGATTATTTGCGTGGCCATGGATATGACTATAATACGCAGTGTGCACTGTGTGATCGTTGCTCTATGGCCGTTGATCTTACCCGAAATCCAAACGAATGACCTCCCAAGCTGGGTACCTACCCACTACCTACTTAGCATCGCTGCGTCTCGTAACGGCCCAGCGGCCCCAGCGCTGTTTTTTTTTTCTTCTTAAAAAAAAAACTAGCCCAATCAGAGGAGCCCAAAGGAGGGAGGCATCCTCGTTTCCTCCTCGGTCCTTGCCTAGGGTAAAAATGTTGAATGTGTTTATAAAAACCGATTGGTGCGGCGAGGGCTCACTCGTATTATTCCGGAAATGAACATTAAGCAAGGATCTGATCGGCAAACGAATTTTGTTTAGCTAGGATAGTCAGCTGATCATAGTCAGCTGATAGCTCAGCTGACGGGTACAACTCCAGAAGCTCCGTCTTTATTGATCGGTTACTTAGTGTTTTTGAAGTGATGAAGGATGAAGACAAGTAATTTGTGATTCGCTATCATCATTGTGTCATAGGCCACAATTGCAAGCTTGACAATTTTGGTGGTGACGACAAAAAGTGATATTCCGTTATCCACGCCTTGTGAATGGTTGAGAGGCCTCTACTTCTCTACGTTTCTTTTCTTGCTCAGGAGTAATTGCTATCTTTGGCATACCTTGTTCGCACAAGAAAGGTTCGAGGAACGCAAGGCCGGGAAAGAGAATGTGACTTTAAATGGAAAATGAGGAAAAAAGGGACTCAAAATAAGGTAATTTAAACGATTTTCATAAGTTTTATGGTTTGTGCACTACTACAAACTCACTTGGCCAACTCCTACCAACAAAACGTGACGTCTTTAGTGGAGAACTTTCATTGTGCAATATGCAATAAGACAACGGACGTTATCCATACAGCATCATGTTCGGTCCGGTTTGGAGAACATTTGTTTTGATACTGATTACCCTGAGATGTTTCATTGTTAGCACCGAACATCCAGAGTACAGTCCCCTCAAAGCAAGACTGGTACAAAATGTCGGAATGTTACCCATGCCTCCACGGATGCGATCGTCCCATGCCCACAGAAGATTTAGAAGTTCAAAACTGTACCTGACCGTGCTTCTACTGATACTTTCTGGAGACATTGAGATAAATCCAGGACCGATACAAGTCATGGGCTCCAGGGATGATCAAAATATGAGGAATGATCAAAATGATGCAACTGAAAACTTTCTTCTAAATCGGACCAAGGCACTTCAAAAGAAATTTGATAGCTTGGATCGACCCGACTATTCGATCACGAGTCGCGATGGCATGCAGGTTACCATGAAGCTCAATGCTGCTCTCTTTGAAGTATTTAAGAACGAGTTTGGGAAGCTCATTGAACACAAAGGAATCAGAGTAACTGATCAAAAAAGATCGCATGACCGTACTCGGCTGATAACCAAGTTCTTTGCCAAAATTGAGTTCGAGACTTTGAAAGTGGCCATGACAAGCTATTTTACTACTTCAACTGTTCTCATTCAATCTAACCAAACAGGGCCTGATGGATTGGGAGCAGCCATGATTTTTACGACGTCACACTTAGTCCCCTTCCTAGATCAGCTGACTTCAAGGTTCCAGATGCCTATCATCCGCTCGGATTTGAAGCAAAAACTTCAGAGGTTGATTAAAGATGAGTCAAAATTGTGCAATGTATGTGAAATGCCGCTAACATTCAAGACGCTTAGAGGAAACAAAACAGCCGGAGTACTGCTTTGCGCAGCCAGTATGTGCCAGAATATGTCGCACGTAACTTGCACCCAAGATAGGCGGAGTGATAACTGGCTGTGTTTAAGCCATCACGCACAACCTAAAATGCTCTCTTCGAAGATACTGGAGTCGATCCCCGTTGCAGCTCAAAGTGCTGGCGGACCTTATAAAGGGCCGCCTGCACCGCCTCTGCCTGTGGCACCGGAGCCGACACTTGCTCAGCGAGAGAGGTCACCTGCTCCCCTGGCAGTGGTATCGGAGCCGACATCGCCTCTGTCTATGGCATCGGAGCCGTCCTCTGGCCGGCTAGAGGAGTCAACTGCACCGCCGCTGCCTGTGGCACTGGAGCCGACCCCAGGCCAGCCAGAAAGTTCACCTGCACCCCTGGCAGTGGTATCGGAGCCGACAACGTCCCTTCCAGTGGCACCAGAGCAGCGAGAGAGGTCGCCAGTTCCGTCCCTGCCCGTGGCAAATGTACCGGCACCGCCCCTACTAGTGGCACCGGAGCTGACCATTGGCGAGCCAAAGGGGGAGCTGCTGAGATCTGGTTCAGGGGACAGGGAGCAAGTAGAACGGGTAGAGGGTTATAGTGGTGGTTGGGTAGGTGATGTGTTTGACCGCGTTGCCTCTGATACTGCAACGGATTTTACAGGGCACACTGTCCAAAATGCTCACTCCGATTCGTTACCTGGCCAATCGTTCTTAGGCGTCACACTGATGGACGTTATGGAGGCCATTAGGCTCATGCAATTCAGTATAGACCAACTTAGAAATGAAATACGGGATATTAGGATGAGACAAGAGGGTATTCGTAGAGAAATTGCTCATAAGAACATGTCGACGGTAACAGAATGCGCAAATGGGAACGATGAGTCACCAGGTGAATCGTTGCCTGCTGACAACCAAGTAGATCGTGAAGCATGGGTAGGGTCTGAAGGTGCTACCACTGATAAATGTTTGAGACCAGGCCGGGAATGCACCGGAAAGGATCTGAATGTCTCCAATGTTAGGTCCAAAGGAGAAGGTAGAAGTGAAACGGAGGAACCAGAGGTTATGGTTTATGGAGACTCCAGGGTTAAATTCATGGACAGAGCCTTTTGTGAACGTAGCCGAGACAAACGCATGAGGGAGAGAGAGAGAGAGAGAGACCATTTATTCAATAACAAACAGATGAATATAACAAATAAAGTATGCAATTGGCGCAAAAGTGCTACGCACTTAAATCATGGCGCCGCTTGCTAAACGAGAAGTACTTAACGTATTTAGCAACAATAATAATGATGAAACACAATGGAACAAGAAGAACGGAATAAAAATATTTATGTTGCAAAACATGTCAAAGTGATCGTCGATCGACCGGACCGCCCAAGCCCGGTAACGCTCCACGACCCCGGCGGCACTGTAAGGCTGCCCCGCACCGCGCCCACTCGTCCGACCACGGTAGTGGTGAGGATTGGGACTTGGGATGTTGTATTTTATAAGCGATGGGTAAGGATGATGAAGGATTGGACAGCGGTGGCAACCACACGGCCCTCCTCACGACTCAGGTCTGTACCGTGGATAAGGATGTCGAGTTGTTTGGAGGAAGGGAGAGTGGAAAAGTCAGTGCGGATGACGGGCGACACGGTGTTGTAAAGAATGTTTCGCTGAGTATGATAAAGTGGACAGGAAAGTAGGAAATGTTTTGTGTTTTCAGAATTATAGCCGCAAGTGCAAGAGGGTGAATTAGCTTGTTGTATGGAGAAAAGATGAGCATTAAGTTTTGAAGTATTCAGTCGTAGTTTTGTGTGTAAAATGTTGCCTGTTTTTGTGCCTAGGAAATAATACAGAGGTGGACGGGGTTGTGTAATCAGTTCTTTTAGGTGTTTTTTAAAGGTAAAGTAGTTATTGTTTGTGCGTAGATGTTCGGGCAATGTGTTCCAGAGGCTTGTAGAGGATGGGACGAAGGATCGGTGATAGGATGTGGTTCTGGCCAATGGTATTGTTTGAGCTGAAATATTTCGTAAAGTTCGTGTTGTGTTTTGCTGTCTTGTGTTAGGAATAATGGTCTTAATAAATTCGGGAACTATAGGATTGAATATTAATTTGTGATAAAACTGAAGTTTGTGGATTTTCCGTCTGTCGGTCAAAGAAGTCCATCCTAGTTCTCGTCGCAGTCCGTTAGTCGATGTCCGAAGTCCAGTCCCAGTGATCAGTCGTGCTGCTCTGTTTTGTGCTTTTTCTAGTCGCATGCCGTCAGTCGTTGTGATGTGTCCGTCGTAAGTGATGTCACAATAGTCGAGGAAAGGTTGAA